CATGGTGAAACTCCATCTCTACTAAAAATACAAAAAATTGTGTAGGCATGGTGGTGTGTGCCTGTAATTCCACCTACTCAGGAGGCTGACGCAGGAGAATCGCTCGAACCCAGGAGGCGGAGGGCGGCAGTGAGCTGAGATCGTGCCACCGCACTCCAGCCTGGACAACAGAGTGAAACTCTATCTCAAAAACAACAACAAAAAAGAGGAAAGCATATAAATTTGTTTAATATAAATTGTACATGACATGGGACTTTTCAGAAATGAAGAAGAACCAAAAAAAAAAACAGGAGAAAATGTGTATTTTCAGCCACAGTCGTACAGTGGTATAACTGGAGAACAAAAGGTCTAATCTAATGTCAATAAACTGAGGGGAACTTAGCAAGGCCTGTTTCTTCAGATTCTTCAAGGCATCTCTGTGTCTTCATTCTTTTCCTCCAGGCACAGGGCAGGACCCCTCCGGAATAAGGATCTTATAACTTATTTTCAGAAGAAACTCACATCAGGTTTTATGGCTCCTTTGTGGGACAAAGAGCAAAGAGAAATCCTTTCTAGTTTCTACGACCTCCTTCTATTGTGTCCTCAAATGCCAAGGCGCCATATTTCCAGGTGGCATTTCCTGTACCACATCAGTATATATGAGACCAGGCTCTGGCAGATATGGAAACCACACAGAGACTTTAGGAGCATGCGGTGGTGGAGGCTCCTATGGTACCTTTCCCACTGCCTCATTGTTCCTCTCTCAAGGCATACCCATGGCCTAATGGGGAGTTCCCTACCCCCACTAAATAGAGGGGGGTGAAATGCGGGTCAGGTTTATTAATGGATCTTCATGGTAAGATGGAACCAGCCAGAAATGATGAGGTGTTGAGCTATACACCACCCGGGAATAGGCTGAAAGAGGGAGTGAAAGACAATCTTTCCAGTGGGCTTCAGGTGTTAGGTCTGGTTTATTTGCATGGAAGGGAAGAGTCTGAGCAGTGACCCTCTAATCCATGGTCAGTCATTGACAGGTTCACCAGGTTAGCAATCTGAGAAAGAGTAAATTGCGTATTTGGTGACATGGAGGGCTGGGGAAGAGGTGTGTGGACTATGCACAGAATGTGAGGATATTTCTAAACCATGTAAATGCCCCCCACAGCATCCACTGTGAAGGAGCCTCTCATTAATTCTCTTGGTGACTGGGCTGCCCTAACAAAGTGCCACAGTCTGGTTGGCGTAAACAATAGACATGTATTTTCTCACAGATCTAGAGGCTGGAAGTCCAAGATCAGGTGCCATCCGTGTTGATTTCTTCTGCAGCCTCTCTTCCAGATTTGTAGACAATTGCCCTCTCTTGTCCCCACGTGGCATTTCCTGTGTGTGTGTGGAGAGGGTGCGCTCTCGCTGTCTCTTCCAATTCTTGTAAGGACATTAGTCCTATCAGATTAGGCCTCACCCTTATGATCTCATTTAATCTCAATTATCTCCCGTCTCCAAATATAGTCACATGGGGAATTAGGACTTCCCTATGTGAATTTGGCGGCCACAATTCTGTTTCTAACGATAATCATGTGGTCAAAATGATCCAATCTGTGGATATCTATTGATCTCTTTTCCTCACTTCCCATGTGCTTACTTGATTGGCCCATGAACAAAGCACACATATGGCAGGGATGGACGCTACGCATGGGCTCAGCAGCACACTCTCTCTCACCAGGACTGATCTGGCCTCTATCAGAGCTCAATGTCCAATTGGCCACAGCAGATCAACACTGAGACCCTAAAATGGTACTATTCCTTCAGGGGACCAAGCAAAGACAGCTGATTGTAGGTAGATAATTTTGGATCCTTTTCATCAGGTAGGAGGCACAATTAGCCTCACAGAGAAAAATGTTTGCTCCAAGTATGGATTTGCCTTTCCTGTCCCCAGTATGTCGGCCAGCACCAAAGTTCATGGACTTAAAGAATATCTTCTGTATACTAAATGGTGTCAAAACATCTCCCAGCAGGGACACATTTTTCAGAGGTGACAACGTGAAAGCAGGCTCATGGCCATGGAGTTCATTGGTTTTATCACGATTCATTCTCCTGAAAAATATGGATTAATTGGATGGCAGAATGGCCTGCTGAAGACATAGACACAGTGACGGCTGAGAGGCAGTGCCTGGTGGGGTGGGATGCTTTCCTACAAGATGCGGTAACTGACTCAAACCAGCAGCGACCAGTGGTGCCACCTCCCCCATAATCAGATTTCATCAGCCTGGGAAATGTGGGGTGGAGGCAGGAGCGGTCCTTCTCACTATTACACTAATTCGCCATGGAAAGAATTCTTGCTTTTTGTCTGACCTCGGGCTCAGTGGCTGACCTGGAAGAAATACTTTCATCAAGGAACACAAAGTTCCATTCCATTGGAAGTTGAAACTGAGTGTGACCCTCAGCCATCTGGGGCTCCTCATGCTGCTAAACCAAAAGGCAGGGAAAGCAGTTGTTGTATTGGCTGGTCCCACTGACTAGAAGGAAATTCCTTTGCTGCTACCCAACCAGAGAGACTCCTCCGAGAGATTCACTGAGGCATCTCTTATTCTAGTAGTCTGTGGAAAGTGGTACAACCCAGAGAGGTAGGTTCACTGAGGACTGAGATCACAGGTGAAGGTAGGCCAAGTAACAAACGCCACTCAGCCTGCAGGAGGTAATGGGTGGTGGAAGAAGGAAGCTATGATTATCAGCGTGGGCTTCATGACTTGTTCCAGAAATATGCTCAACAGCAGTTATGTTTCACTGTAATTGTTTTAATTGCCCCCCCCACATCTCCTTGAATCTCCCCCTCCTTCATACCTCCAATGATGGGCATTGGCAATGGCTACCATTTTAGACTCGAGGTTAGACTTTGACTGAATTGAAATCACCATGCAATGATATAGCAGTTGATAGGAATTTTGTGGGTGCCCTCTGCTGGGAACATAAATATTTCACCTGGCAAAAGGATAAGGGTGGATGCTTGAGGGGATCCCATACTGGATACCTTCCATTTGCCCCATCTAGCTCTCTTCAGACCAGGGAGGCAGACCTGTATGGACTGCAGCAGTGGGCTTTCTTGCCCTCTGGGTTCTGGTTAGATTCAGCCAATAGAAGACGTGGGCAGGAGATCAAAGGGTGAAGAAAAATGAAGTTGGGGTCACTATTTCCAATTCTTCCTATGCTGGATCACTATGGATTGGCTGTGCCCTCTACTAAAAGCTTTTCCCTGGGTTTTGGGACCCATTCTCTCCCTTTGCCCCTCCACCAAGCCCTGTTATTAACTTGGGTATACCACACCATTCCTTGTTGCTTTCATGGAACCCTGCCTACACCTTTGTAATAGTACCTTTGGGGTTTTCTGTTGTTCTTTTTCTGAGACAGGATCTCACTCTGTCACCCAGGCTGGAGTGCAGTGGCTCGATCACAGCTCACTGCAGCCTCGAACTCCTGGGCTCAAGCGGTCCTCCTTTCTCTACCTCCCAAAGTGCTGGGATTATAGGCATGAGCACTGCACATGGTCTATAACATCCCTTTGTTAAATTGCCCTTGATTACCCATTTTGAGGGCACCATCTGTTTCCTGACAGGAACTTGCATGGTACAACCATGGCCCTGGGGTTAAAAAATAAAGACCTGTTCCTCAACCTCAAGGAACTTGTGCGTCTTAGAGTTGAAACAATTATGTAGAGAGATACATAATTGAAATGACATGTAACAAAATGCATAACAGGGGTATATGTGAGGCATACTGTTCTACCAAGGAGAGAGTGATCAGCTGTGCTTCCAGATGGGGGTGGGTATGGGGGAACAGGACCATTGCCCCCACCCCAAAATGAAAGATTTGAATTGGGTCTTAATGGATAAGTGGAAAGATTCTCACAAATTAGTTGGTTCTTTCATTCTCCCATGTGCCAAAAATGCCTCCAGCAATGTCTCCAGTGTGATTGGACTAAAGGAGACGGAGTCCAGAGAAGAGACATATTGCACACCACTCAGAGAGGCGGATGTCAGAGACAGAGGCTGTGAGGGGGTGAGGCAAAGAGCAGCTTCCATTCCATTTTCCACACTAGACTGCCCCACAATGATGACCTCAACTTCCATTGTGTATCTGAGGCTGCACTCAGACCTGGGCAACCTCAACATGCAGACCCCTTTCTGAAGGCAGCATCATTCTTACCCCCTACCAAGGAGGAATAACACAATGGGCTGTAACTAACATTTAATAAGTTTATTATATCTTTACCAGATGAACAATCTATGGGAAATAGAGGGGACAGAGGAATATGTTAAATAACACCATAAAGTTATGATCAGCAAAATCCAAACTGTGGGAAGCCCTATAGTACCAACTGGTTTATCCCAAAAATAAATTGTAAAGAATGCAAATGATTTTGAAGAAACCCAAAGATTAAAAGAGGACTAAAAGGGCCATATGCGGTGGCTCATGCCTATAATCTCCACACTTGGGAAGGCAGAGGCAGGAGGCAGAGCTCAGGAGTTCAAGACCTGTCTGGGCAACATGGTGAAAACTCATCTTGACAACAAATACAAAAATTAGCCAGGTATGGTGGCATACACCTGTAATCCCAGCTATTTGGGAGGCTGAGGCAGGAGAATCTCTTGAACCCAGGAGGTGGAGGTTGCAGTGAGCCGAGATCGCACCGTTGCACTCTAGCCTGGGCAACAAGAGCAAAACTCCATCTCGGAAAAGATAAAACAAAAAACAGAACCACTAATGGCTAAGGCCTTCCTTTAGAGATTCTGATTCAATGTAACTGGGCTTTGGGTATCACTTTTTAAAGTTTCCCAGATAACGCCAATGATTTCTTAGAGGAATATTTTTAGGACCACGTGTCACAGTCAATTATTTCCAATTAATTAATGATGCTTTGAATCAACCATTCATTCGATCGTGTATTCATTTATTCAGCTTTCAACTCTAATGACTGAATGTTCTATTTCCAAAAAATTATGTCAATGAAATTCCCATTTTTCAAATAGTTTTTACCATCTCCTAAAATTATTTACCTTTTTTTTCTGCTGGATTTTCATTGGTTAACTAAATAATGAAATTAAACTCTGAACAGCATCTTTCCCACAAATTTCACACTAAGCTGCTTTTTTTTGGAACTAGACAATGGCAAAGGAGAACAAAATTAAATAGTCTAGACAAGGAAGAAAAAAATCTATTTTCAGTTTATATTTTATTAGTGGTAGCTTGTCAGTCAGATGATATGTTAAAGTTATCCAGAATAAAGAAAGAATGAGGCTGGGTGTGGTGGCTCATGCCTGCAATCCCAGCACTTTGGGGGGCTGAGGCAGGGGGATCACCTGAGGTCAGGAGTTCAAGACCAGCCTGGCCGACATGTTGAAACCCCATCTCTACTAAAAATAAAAAAATTAGCCAGGCATGATGGCAGGCACCTGTAATCCCAGCTACTCAGGAGGGTGAGGAAGGAGAATCGCTTGAACCTGGAAGGTGGAGTTTTCAGTAAGCAGAGATCATGTCACCACACTCTAGCCTGGCTGACAGAGCCAAGACTTAGTCTCAAAAAAAAAAAAAAAAACAAAAGAGAGTAGTTTTTTGAAACCCTTTTTTTAAAAAATTTGTTCTTAAGCACTCTGCCAAAGAACTATCCATATAATTAAAATTCTAGGTGACTTCAGCAGTGGGCCAGAGATGTAGAACTTTGCATCCAATGCTTCCAGGAAAGAGGGTAGAATACAAAGTTTCACTCTTGCTATGAATGCCTTTATTAATTTCTTTTATGCACAAGTGCAAAAGTTGTTGTAGGTATATATTAGTGAAATTTATGTGTTAAACACGGTATGTAACTTAGACTCCCAGCCAAAGCTAATGGGATCTGGACTAAGGCTGCCCTTTTATTGAGTGATATAAGATCCATCTCTCCCACTCTCTCCTTTGGACAGATATCATTGAAAATCACAGAGTAGAGAGCTCCAAAATGTTATGTCTCCACAGAAGCAACGAATAAGTTTGCAAAAATTATCACAATGAACTTTTTCAGAACTTTAGAACCTCATCAAAAAACAACAACCAGGGGAGAGCTTAATGATGAAAAAAAGCTGCCTTTCGGTAAGAAAGCTTTGTGAATTTTAACCTACCTGGTTACCGTCCCCAGCTCCCCAACTCAGCCGCAGACTTGAATACTGAAGCCCATTTTTCTGCTACAGATTACTGTTAACAGAGGGACCAGTACAGACCTTATTTTCAAATAATTGTTCTGTGTTTTGACCCATATGGTAGCTACCTGAAGGATCTGCTCAAGGGCTTACCTATATTTTACTTGCCTTTGAGTTTCCTCAGAGTTGAGGCTACTTCCAGGTTGACATTTCTCAAACCTATTTAAAGACAAAAGTATTAATTATTGCCACCTGTGGCAAAGGGTAACAGTTATGTAAGCAATAGAAAAACCAAAAAGCCTGGGAAGGAGGAGGCTGGAGAAGGACATACTTCAGCAAAGAAGGGTTTTGAAAAGCTCTCATGTTGCTATGGATTGAATGTTGCTTTCAGAACTCATGTTGAAACTGAGTCCCCACTATAGCAATATTGACAGGTCAGGCCTTTAAGAGCTGATCGGGCCCTGAGGGCAGGGGCCTCATGGGTTAATCTATTCATGGATTAATGAATTAATGGGTTGATGAATTAAAGAATCACTATCACAGGAGTGGGGCTGGTAGCTTTAAAAGAAGAGGAAGAGACACCTGAGTAGCATGCTCAGCAACCTCGCCATGTCATGACCGGTACCACCTTGGAACTCTGAAGAAAGTCCCATGAGCACAAAGGCCTTCATCAGAATGAAGGCTCTAACCAGATGTAGTCCCTTGAAGTTGGACTTCTCAGCCTCCATCACTGTAAGAAATAAATTTCTTTTCTTTATAAATTACCCAGTTTCAGGTATTCTGTTACTAGCAAGAGAAAATGAATTAAAACACATGTATCCCAGGGAATTGGGCCAGCTGCAGTGGCTCATGCCTGTAATCCCAGCACTTTGGGAGGCTGAGGCGGGAGGATCACCTGAGGTCAGGAGTTCGAAACCAGCCTGGCCAACGTGGCGAAACCCTGTCTCTACAAAAAATACAAAAATTAGCCTGGTATGGTGGCACATGCCTGTAATCCCAACTACTCAGGAGGCTGAGAGAATTGCTTAAACCTGGGAGACGGAGGTTGCAGTGAGCCCGGATTGTGCCACTGCACTCCAGAACAGAATGAGACTTCATCTCACAATAAATGAATAAACAAATGCAATTTTAAAAATACAAAATACAAAAGTTAGGTGGGTGTGTTGGCACATGCCTGTAATCCCAGCTACTCAGAAGGCTAAGGCATGACAATTGCTTGAACCTGAGGGGCAGAGGTTGCAGTGAGCTGAGATCACACCACTGCATCCAGCCTGGGTGACAGAGTGACACTGTCTCAAAAAATAAATAAATAAATAAAAGAGCTTTAAAAGAGGAGGAGAAAGAGAAAGGGGCAGAGAGAGCATCTGAAGAAATAATGGCCAAAACTTCTCAAAGGTAATGAAAGACATGACTTCTTACATCCAAGAAACTCAACAAACTTGAAGTATTATACACTGAGACACATTATAACCAAGCTATCAAAGGCCAAAGAATCTTGAAAGCAGCAGAAGAGGGGCAACTCATTATTTACCAGAAATTCTAAATAACATTAACAATTGATTCATCATTAGAAACTGTGAAAGCCACAGGTAGTGGATTACATATTTAAAGTACTGAAAGAAAAAAAGTGTCAACAACAAAAAAATTTCTTTCTTTTGAGACAAGGGAGTACAGGCTGGAGTGCAGTGGGATGATCTCAAGTCACTGCACCCACACCTTCCCAGGTGCAAGTGACTCCAGCCTCAGCCTCCCAAGTAGAAGGGACTATAGGCACAAGCCACCAATGCTGGGCTAATTTTTGTATTTTTTGTAAAGATGGGGTTTTGCCATGTTGCCCAGGCTGGTCTCGAACTCCTGAGTTCACAACAATCCTCCCGCCTCAGCCTCCCAAATTGCTGGGATTACAGGCATGAGCCAGCAAGCCTGGCCAAAAAAATTTTATCTGGCAAAACTATATTCAGCAATGGAGTAGAAATTAGACACTCCCAGATTAACAAAAACTGCAGAAATTTGTCACTAGTAGATCAGCCTTACAGAAACTGCTAAAAGGAGTCCTTCAGGCTGACATGAAAGGACAACATACAGTAACTTGAAACCGTATGAAGAAAGAACATCAGTAAAGGTATTATAACTACAAAAGCCAGCATTATGGCATTTTTGCTTTATAAAGCCCTTTTTTGTATGATTTAAAAGTACATAAACAATAGTTACAAATAGGGCCGGGCGCGGTGGCTCAAGCCTGTAATCCCAGCACTTTGGGAGGCCGAGGCAGGTGGATCATGAGGTCAAGAGATCGAGACCATCCTGGTCAACACGGTGAAACCCTGTCTCTACTAAAAAAAAATACAAAAAATTAGCTGGGCATGGTGGCATGTGCCTGTAATCCCAGCTACTCAGGAGGCTGAGGCAGGAGAATTGCCTGAACCCAGGAGGCGGAGGTTGCGGTGAGCCGAGATCGCGCCATTGCACTCCAGCCTGGGTAACAAGAGCGAAACTCCGTCCCAAAAAAAAAAACAAAAAAAAAAAACAAAAAAAACAATAGTTACAAATATATGTTAATCAGCACAAAATGGATGAAGATGTAGTTTGCAGCAATGCAACATGAAGGAGGGATGAAGCAATGTAGGAACAAAGTTTTTTATGCTATTGAAACTAACCTGGTATAAATTCAAACTTGATTGTTATAAATTATAATGTTAACTGTAATCTCCAGGACAATCACTAAGAAAATAACTAAAAAATATAAAGTAGACCCAGGTGGCAGTGCATGTATTTTTTGTAAAGATGGGGTTTTTGTAAAGAGGCTGAGGCGGGGGGAATCACTTGAATCCAGGATTTGAGCAGTTAGCTTTGATCATACCTGTAAATAGCCACTTCGCTCTGGGCTGGGCAAGAAAGTGAACCCCCACTCTAAAACATAGAGGTAAAGGCTACATGACCTTGGATTTGGCAATGGTTTCTTAGCTATGACATAAAAACCACAAATAACAAAAGAAAAATTAAATAAAATTGGCCAGGAGTGGTGGCTAGTGCCTGTAATCCCAGCACTTTGGGAGGCCAAGGCAGGTGGGTCACTTGAGGTCAGGTGTTCTATACCAGCCTGTTCAACATGGTGAAACCCTGTCTCTACTAAAAATACAAAAATTAGCCAGGTGTGGTGATGGGTGCCTGTAATCCCAGCTACTCAGGAGGCTAAGGCAAGAGAATTGCTTGAACCTAGGAGGCAGAAGTTGCAGTGAGCCAAGATCACGACACTGCACTCCAGCCTGGGCAACAGATCGAGACTTTGTCTCAAAAAAAGTAAAAGTAGATAAATTGAGCTTCATCAAAATAAAAACTTTTGTGCATCTAAAGACCCTATCAAGAAAACGAAAAGACAACCTTAGGAATAGGAGAAATTATTGGAAATCATCTATCTGATGAATTAATATCTCTAATACATGAAGAACCCTTACAATTCAACAAGAAAAAAGACAAGCAAACCAAATAAAAGATAAGCACGTGACATGAATAGATATTTCTTCAAATAAGACATTATAATGGCCAATAAACACATTAAAATATGCTCATCATTAATCACAAAGGAGATGCAAATCAAAATCACAAGATACCACTTTATACCTATCAGGATGGTTATAATTTTCTGCTGTTGTTTTGTGTTTTTGTTTTTAAGAATGGTTTTAAATTTTTAAAAACTTGTTTTTGTTTTTGTTTTCAGGCTGGAGTGCAGTGGCGTGATCACAGCTCATTGCAGCCTTGACCTCCTGGGCTCAGGAGGGTGATCTTGCCACCTCAGACTCCCAGGTCTCTGGAACTACAAGTATGCACTACCATGCCTGGATATTTTGAATTTTTTGTAAAGATGGGGTTTCTCCATGTTGCCCAGGTTGGTCTTGAACTCCTAGACTCAAGTGATCCACCTGCCTCAGCCTCCCAAAGTGCTGGGATTATAGGTATGAGTCATTGTGCCAAGCCTAAAACATTTTTTAAACTAGAAAATAAGTGTTGGCAAAGATGTAGAAAATTGCAACTGTTGTACATTGCTGATGAGAATGTAAAATGGTGCAGCTGCTGCAGAAAACAGTTGGGTGGTTCCTCAAAAAGTTAAATGAAGAAATACACACAAGAGTAAGCAATTCCACTCCTAGGTGTTTACCCAAAACAACTGAAAATAGGAACTCAAAATTGAAAATCGGAACTAAAAATACTGTCATATTCTTAGTAGTATTATTCACAATAGCCAAAAGGTAGAAACAACCCAAATGCCCATTAACTGAGAAGTGGATAAACAAAAGTAGCATGTCCATATAATGGAATATTATTCAGCCATAAAAAGAATTAAAATTTGGCCGGGTACAGTGGCTCATGCCTGTAATCTCAGCACTTTGGGAGGCTGAGGCAGGTGGATCACTTGAGCCTAGGAGTTCGAGACCAGCCTGGGCAACAAGATGAAACCCTGTCTCTACAAAACTGTATGAAAATTAGCCAGGCATGGGGTGCATGCCTGTAGTCCCAGCTATTCGGGAAGCTGATGTGGGAGGATTGCTTGAACCTGGGAGGCGGAGGCTGCAGTGAGTCAGACGCTGCAGTGAGCCTAGATTG